GATCTGATTTTAATAAGTTTTGATCTGATCTGATCTGATCTGATTGGATCTAATCTGATCTGATCTGATTAGATCTGATCTGATCTGATCTGATTAGATCTAATCTGATCTGATTGGATCTGATCTGATCTGATTGGATCTGATCTGATCTGATTGGATCTGATCTGATATGATTGGATCTGATCTGATTGGTTCTGATCTGATTGGTTCTGATTTGATTGAAAATTTTAATGATAATTCATATTATAATATAATCAATATTTTTTTATGATTATTTTTTAATGAAACAAAATTAATTAACTCATATATTAGAATAATCATTCATATTATAATGTAATAATATTTTTTATTTTATGATTTTTTTAATGAATAATATTGATTTAATATTTTAATAACTAGTTTATATAAACATTAGAATAATTATTTAATTTATATATGCACTAGAATGTTATTTAATATAGATAATCAATGTTATTAATAATCATTAATATTTTTATTAAAAGATCACATCCTTATATTATCAATGTTAAGCAAAGAAATAATACATTTTTCATTAATAATTAAAGATTACTTTCTCGGGTTTCTATTTAGCTTGTTTCTAAAGTTTATTATTTTTCATTTTTAAGAAAACAATTGTGCTTCATATCATTTATTTTAGTCTACATAAATTATAATCACACAAAAAGTTTCATGTTCTTTCTTCTTATATTTTTTAAATAGAATNAATTTATTTTTTAAAAGAACCGTATCAAGTGAAACAACTAAAAAATATGGAATTTAAAAAGTAAGGAGTAATAAAGATATTCATAATGATAATAATAGTAGTAGTAGTAGTAGTAGTAGTAGTAGTAATAATAATAATAATAATAATAATAATAATAATAATAATAATTCTTATTTGGATCTGATTGGATCTGATCTGATCTGATTAGATCTGATCTGATCTGATTGGATCTGATCTGATCTGATTAGATCTAATCTGATCTGATTGGATCTGATCTGATCTGATCTGATTGGTTCTGATCTGATCTGATTTGATCTGATCTGATTTTAATAAGATTAAGAAAAAAGCAGAAAAAATAAGTTGAATGGAACGGGGCCTAAATTGTGGCAGTGGATTAAATGAGCATTTTGTTGGGGAAATTAATGAAAACGTGGATGAATCGAGAGTCGTGTAGAATACTTTCAGATTGAATATTTTGGTTGTTCAATCCAAAATTCAATCGGATAAAACTCGAAAGTATCAAGAACGAAATATGGAATGCTATGAAATTTTCGAACATCTTCTGACCATGGACTTGCGGGAATTTAAGGAGTTGCGGTGAGTAGAGGAGACGTGATCATGTCTCTTACCCAAGACACGCGATCCTTCGCGCGGAACTCTTCAAAAATCCGCACTATCCTTTAGGAAATTTTCTTTTTAAAGAAAATTCAAAAAATAAAAATTCAATTGAATTTTTTAATATAGCACTTTGTACAAAATAAAATTTTATACAAACTCAATGAAACGAGACCCTGCAGGGGCTGCCGCCCCTTGAACCCTGTTCGGGGGCGCTACCCCTTTAGAACCCCCGATGAAACGAGATTTTTATCGTAACAAACTCAATGAAGCGTGCACTCCGCACTACCAAACTTCTTTGATAATTATTAACATACCATTAGTCATAGTTTTTCCAATTACACTAAAATATACTCTGTATAACACATTTGTCCCAGTTTTAATTTAAGAGTAATTTACCTAAATAGGACTAAAACATATTGACCTTCCCAATATAGGACCATATGTTTTTATTTCTCAATGTAGAACTTTTGGTCATTATCAAGTAGTCATTATTCAAGTAAATGTCTATTATTACTGGACATTATTTCTTCCACAAGGTCATTATTAAGTCCTATTTAGAAAATAAAAAAGTTTAAGTCTTACATTAGGAAAGTCATTATGTTTTAGTCTTATTTAGTGCAAATTTAACTTAATTTAAACTTATTCATATTTTCTTAGGGAGCAAGATTGCAACCTTAGGCTCTTCTTATTAAATAGATGGGTTGTACTTGTAATGTTTGGTGAGACCACAAGAGAATAAAATTTTTCGTGTTGCAATCGTAGATTAGGAAAATTGAGCCACGTTAAATTCTTGTGTGTCGCTCCTGTTCTTTTTTCTCTCGTTTCTAATATATTATTTGTGTGTATGGTTGTGAAACGAACGAATCGAATCGAATATTGTGAAATTTTATTCATATTTGAAAAATGATAGCATTATTCATATTTATATTCGTTTTTTATTCGAATAATTATTACTATTCGTATTCGATTTGATATTAAATTCAAATATTAGTATTCGTATTCGTATTCTTTTATGAAATATGATTTTTTATTTTTTACGTTTTACAGCTTCAAAAACTAGTAAAAAAATAAAAAAATCACCTTAAATAAGAGTAGAATATAGAGAAAGTACCAAAATATGAACTCCATATTTTATCGTTAAAATATGGAGTTCGCACTGTGGTAATGTGACACTGCATATGAACAATTCACGATACTTTTTAGTAATGTACATGGTCATGAATAACACTGTAAATGCATTTCAACTCCTATTTCGAGAATAAAAATATATAACTCCTATTTTGATTTATTTTCATTATTTACTTTTACTTTAGTCTTTTTCCCAAAATTAATAGGGTACTAAAAATGACATGTCTACAACAACAACAATCCAGTTTGATCCAACGAAAGTAAGGACTGGAGAGAATGTGTGTAGGCAAATCTTGCCTCTATGGAGTACTCTGTATTATGAGGCAAACATGCATTAAATATAAAAGTCTATTTTTAAATTCGAATATATTCATTAACATATCGAATCGAATACATATACATTCGTATTCATGTTTGTTTTCTTTCGAATTCTGATAAATATTTACTCCGTATATTCGTATTCGTATTCATTTTTTGAATACGAAAAATTGAGTTCGAATCACGAATCGAATTAAAATTATTCGTTCATTTTACAACCCTATTTGTGTGTGTTGTGTTAATTCCTAACCGAATTTAATTGAGAATGTGATGAAGGATAGTCTCTAATGCGATTATCTACCAGGCTTGCATTTAAAATTCCAACTTTCAGGTCCTCTAATTGAAACTTTAATCAGGTAAATTTTATTCTACTTGGGTCTGGGGCATTTCCAAGTAGCTCCCTTTTTTAAACGGAGTACTTCGTATTTGATTGGGGCATGCGTTAGTTTGATTTTTTTTTATCTTAATGAAGTTCTCTAATCTCTACTAAAATATTCCTAGAAGTTCTACATCTCACTATGAGTTTACTCTATAATTGTGTTAGAACATCATGAAAGTGTATAAATATTTTCTTTATTCCGAATTTCTTTCGAAATAAGTTTCAATGCTGATTTTATGCATTCTTGTTTGCTAATTTTTTCTGAAACATGTTATTTAAGCAGATTGTGTGTACCATTAGGTGCTAAATATTAAAAATTCTGATTCAAATTTATTGTTATACACGCTATTTTTTGTTCCATAAAGTGCTGCTCTCTTAAAATTTGAACCATTATTGCTAAATCTGTATAGGAACTTAATTTATTAGAAGCATATATCATGATTTCAATTATCTGATTTTGATTCTTTAATGCTGAATTTGCACCAAAGTGAATTGAGACCCCAAATTTGATCGTTAAATTTGATTTCTAAATTAAATATGCACTTTATTAACTGATTTTTGTTTTGTATTTGAGTATCAAGAAATAATATTTTTATAGAAATTCAAAACTAACAAAAGCTGAGTTTTTTAATTTAAAACGATATACATATATACGAATATCATATATATGTATATCGTTTTAAATCTCAATATATGACTAAGAGTATGTTCTTTAGGACTGGAAAAAAAGAGCTGGATATTGGAAGAAACTGAAAGGAATTGGAAAAAACTGGAATGAACTGGAAGGAATTGTAAAAAACTGGAAAGAACTGGAGAAACTGGAAGATACTGAAAGGAACTCGAAAAACTGGAAGTTAAAAATTTAAGCTCTAAAGAACATGTTCTTAATCAATATAAAAACTTTAAAATTCCACTTTAACGTTGAAATAGTCAAAGCATAAAAATGGAAATATAAATTAAAAATATAAACAATAAAAAAAAGGTTGTTAAGATCCCCAGTAAAGTTTGCGTAAAACTAAGGGGGGTGTATTCAATATGGACTTTGATGGATTTTTTTGGATTTTAAAAGTCAGTGGGTATTCAATTGAGATTTTAAAAAAATGATTTAAAATCTAGATGTATTCAATTAGAATTTTAAAAAATCTTACAAAATCTTATGGTATTCAAAAATTGTGAAAGATTTGGTAGGCTTAAGTATAAAGAAAAATCTTATTACAAATCCTAGCAAGAAAGGAGAGATTTTGCTGGACTCCAATCGTATTCCCCTCTTTGGTAAAAGGTACGATTCATCTTCCGCCTCTCTCAAAATGGAATATTCTGCCAGATCCCACAACTTCCGCCAGATCCCACAACTTCGTTCCGACCCTAAATTCTCGCCAATGAACAGTGCTTCTCACAATCACCCTGCTTCTCTTGCGCTCTCGTGTCCTTCGGCGACGGCGATAAGAATTGAACATGTAGTGTTTCGAGGCTGGCTAATCGCAGACTCCAGCGACCCTCCTTCTCCCTAAAATCAGATCCAAATAAAGCAGCCTTTTTGCACTCAAGCAATAAAGCAAGTCTGCGATCGGAACTGATGAATTTCTTCCCTAAAATCGTGTCATCCCTGCTTGATGAAATTTCTTTGCACCCAAGCTTGGTCGTTAGGTCAGAGCTTTCTTTCCTTCATAGTTGGAATTGCTTTGCACCCAATTGGTTGTTAGGTCCCATTTTTTTTTGTCCGATCAACTTTCCCGGAGCGAAGGCGTCACTGGTTCTCATGTTGTCTTCCAATTCAGAAATGAGTTGGGAAGAAAGGATTTTTGAACTTTTACAAATCTAAACGAATCTTACCAAGTCTTGATAATACAATACATTAGAATATATCGAAATCTGCATAGAGTTTAAACAATTTGTAAATCTTACGTAATCCATGGATTATAAAAAATCTAACATAATCATTTGAAATCTGAATTGAATACACCCCTCTAAATATTTTACCTGCTGCACATGGCCTAAGGACTTTGTTAAAGTTTGAATCAGTCTCGCTCATCTGTGACATGTTTTTAAAAATACAAGTAACAGCCTTTGGCGTATATGAAACAACCTTTCGTGCCGTGTCTATTACGTAGTTCAGACAGGGCACTTTTTTTTGGAACAACACTTTAAAATGATAATGCTAATTTATAATGTTGTTGTCAAATAGACCTTAAATACAAACTAAATCACAATTATAAAACCCGTACACACCAAAAATACTAACCTCTAATGTTATTGTCCAACACGATCCTAGAGACAGATTAAATCACAATTATTATGCCCGTATGCACTATAGAAATTGATACAATTTAATAATAATTTGTCATATTGAATATTGAGAGATATATCCCTATATATAGGGATTACAAGAGAGAGTCCTATTCCTAGTAGGAAAGGAATAAAGTAATTATGGTAATACAAGAATAAGAAAACTAAATAAAATAATATTAGGAGTCTTCCTATTATCCCCCCGCAAGCAGATCAACGGATACGAAGGGCAGCTTGGAACACAAATAATGGAACGGAGTCGGAGGAAGCGGTTTTGTTAGGATGTCATGAGCAAGCTGCTCAGAAGAAGGAACATGATGTGTAGTCATAGTGCCAGCCATAATCTCGTCTCGAACAAAATGACAGTCAGAGCCAACATGCTTCATGCGATCATGGAGAATGGGATTGTTGGTGACACAGATTGTGGACTAATTATCACAATAAATCTTAGGTTTCGTAGGCAGAACATGCAGAGCATCCATAATGTAACGAAGCCACATCGCCTCTGCCACCCCCGCGGCCTCAACACGATACTCAGCTTCGGTGGAGGAGCGCGAGACGCGAGTCTGTTTTTTTGTGCACCATGAGATAAGATTCGGCCACAGCATAAGAAGATACCCAGTGGTGGAACGACGATCATCTTTGTCATTAGCCCAGTCAGAGTCCGAATAAACAGCAAGATCAAGAGAGCCTTTTCTGAACAGAAGGCCATGAGAAGAAGTACCCTTCAAGTAGCGAAGAATACGTTTGAGAGCCAAGTAATCCTTCTCAGTAGGATTATGCATGGTCTGAGAAACTCGATTCACAGCATACTGAATATCAGGGCGAGTTACCGCATGATAGTGTAGACCACCCACAAGGCTACGGAAAAATTTTGGGTCAGAGAAGGTGGACGAGATTTCCTGGGTTGGCCGCGCCGCCATCGGAGTGACAGTGGGTTTGCAATCAGTCATGCCAGCCCATTGAAGAAGATCAAAGATGTATTTTGTCTGATGAAGCAAGATAGTATCCGCAGAGCGAGGAACCTCAATGCCAAGAAAGAAATCCAGAGGACCCAAGTCTTTGAGGCGAAAATTTTTATGCATAGCCTGAGTGACAGCAGAGATGAGATCAGAAGAGCTCCCTGTAATAATGATGTCATCAACATATAGGAGAACAATGACCATGCCGCGGGAGCTGTGAAAAGTGAACAGACTGGTGTCATGACGACAGCACTGAAAGCCAAGTCCCTGCAAAAAAGTAGCAAAACAGGTGTACCAAGCACGAGGAGCCTGTTTAAGGCCATATAGAGATTTGCGTAGCTTGTAAACAAACTCAGGCCTATTTGGATTGACGTAGCCCGGTGGTTGAGACATATAAATATCCTCATCGAGTGTACCATGGAGAAAGGCATTGGTAACATCAAGCTGGTGAAGAGGCCAATCATAGTGTAGAGCAAGAGTGAGTACCAGACGGATGGTTTGCTGCTTGATAACCGGGTTGAACGTCTCTTTATAATCAATGCCATACTCTTGATGGTACCCTTTGGCCACTAGACGAGCCTTGTACCGAGAGACGGAGACATCCGGATTCCGTCTTATGCGATACACCCACTTGCAACCAATAGGATCTCGGCCCTTGGGTAGGGGCACCAAATCCCATGTGCGCTGTTCATTCAGAGCTACAAATTCCTCATCCATGGCATGGCACCAATAGCTATTCTTGGAGGCTTGGTGATAGGTGTGAGGTTCAGAGGTAGGAGGAGAGGTATCAATGGTGGTAGCAGTATAGGTTTTAGGCTTGAAAATGCCTGATTTGGCACGGGTTTGCATGGGATGGGCATTTGTTGTGGTGAGCAGTTCTGTCGACGGTCGACCATGTGGGGGGTGAGCAGGTGATGGTATCGACCGTCTGTAGAGATTCAGAGAGGGGTTGGGAGGGCGGTCAATCGTGGGGAAACTAATCTTCTACAAAATGAACATGACGGGAGACATACGTTTTCTGAGAAATATGATCATAATACTTGTAACCCTTTATGGTGGGATGATAACCCAGGAAAACACAGGGAGTGGAACGTGGATGAAGCTTGTGGTGTGTGTGAGGGCGAAGCCAGGGATACACAAGACAACCAAAAGGACGAAGGTGAACATAATCTGGAGGCCGACCATAGAGGGCTTCAAAGGGGCATTGGTTATTTAGGGTGGCTGTGGGTAGGCGATTTATAAGGTAGTTGGCTGTAGCAAGGGCTTCAACCCAAAAGGAGACATGAAGGTGGGAATCATATAGTAAAGCAATGACAGTCTCAATGAGATGCCTGTTGAAACACGGGTTTAACGTGTTTTCGTACTTAAGCCGTGTTCGTTTTTATGACAGGTTTTGATAATGCCAAACCGCTGTGAATGAGACAAGTTGTTGAATATACAAGGCGAGAAATAAATATAAGAGGAAAGCAAGAGAACAAGAGCTAAAAGAGATCAAGAACGAAGACCGTAGTCTTTAGCATCGTTGAGTCGGTCACAATGTGATCAAGACCGACCCAAGCTTTGCACTTTGGCTCTTTAGGCTAAAACATTTTTTATTGAATTTTACATATCATCAAAATTATTCTTAAACATGCTTAAATATATTAAAAACACTTGGTGTTCGCCCAAACCAAAAACCAAGCCATCCAGCGTTCGGCTTTCGGAAACCGGCATTCGGCATTCGGTTATCGGCGTTGGTTTTTGGCGTCCGAACCAACGAAGTGGTTTTCAACTTTTTATGATTGGTTTTTACTTCTGGGAACATTTAAATAGTTTTCCATCAAAAACTCTTCAAAAACCACCTTTCGCTTTTTGTCGTTTGATAAAAACCACGCGAAACGGCATAAACTTGGCTAGCCGCGGTTTTTACTTAAATGAAGTGGTTTTCGAGTCTTTTTGTGTGGTAAGTGTTTTTTAATGCATTTAAATGGTTCTCCAATCAAAACATCATGAAAACCACCTTTCGGTTTTGTCTTTTAGTAAAAACCACCCGTGTACGGCATTGACTTGGTCAACCATGGTTTTTACATTAACGACGTGGTTTTCAACTTACAAAGCTTGTTTTGACATCACAATGCATTAAATAAGTGTTTTAAATACTTAGTTTTTACTTTGGAGGACTTTGCATTTTTCGGTCGGGTTTCAGCACCGGTCGGCTAAGCTATGGTTCTGGACTAGCCATCTACCCAGCGATGGTAGATTTCACCCATGCATGGGTAAGTGATCCCGGGATTCCAGAATCATGCCACCCAGCGATGGGAAGATCTTCCCATCGATGGGTAAGCAGTCCCTTAGCCAAACCAATTTCCAGAATCATGCCAAACAGCGATGGGAAGTTCTACCCATCGATGTTAAAGCCTTGGTGCAACATTACCACAAGGCAGAATGCCCTTACCCAGCGATGGGAAGCTTTACCCATCGATGGGAACCCAGCGATGGGA